TATTTTATGTATTTCTGTTTTATATTACTGTGAAGCACTTTGTGGTTTTTATCCTGTGAAAAGTGCTATATAAATAAATTGATTTGATTTTCATCTTGTATTTTTAGCCCAGCCTGGAGCTGAGCTCCATGGATCACGAGGTGTACTCAAAAGCCCAGTTCTCTTTAGTCATCATTCCCAAATAAATCATCAAGAACAATACGCAAAAAGGACTTCCTCATCAAGCAGCGGCACCAAGCTGTAAAGTAAGAAAAAGCCCCTAGTGCTTACTAGAAACTCATCAACTTCTCTGGGGGAATATTTGTATAAGCATTCCCCTGATTGATGTACTCTCCTTTATGGCTTTAAGATATCAGCTGCTCACTACCAGCCCTTGAAAAAGGAATCAATATTTACGCGATCATTTTAAAGGATGATGGAGAGCATCACCTTGCTCTTTGGAGCTGTCCTTCTGTTCCATGGAGACCAGAGCAGAGAAGTGCGCCTGATCGTATGCCAGGACCAGCGGAGAGCGGTGGCACTTGGCAGCTGGCACTTCCAGCGGTAGGTAGATGCCTCCGAATGGGATGGGAGCAAAAGCTGGAGGGTGAGTAATAAGCACATTAAACATCTGCGAAACGGGACCTCAGCTCTGTTTCTCAGTCAGTAAAACACAACAGAAACATACGAGTAAACAATAAAGATATACAAGGACAATACTTCACTTGTTGGAAGATTTTTAATCTACTTGAAATGGAAAAGATCGTTATCAAAAAACAACAACAGCTGCTAAAAGATAGCAAACTGTTCATGCTTCAGTTTATTCCCAAGAATGCTGGTTTCACATTTGTTTTTCCAAACAAAGTGCTCCAATATATTTATTTAACCTTATTCCACAAGGAAGTGAAACTCTAATGTTATTAAGAGTCTTTTGTGAGACCTGTCCTGGGATGAGACAGGCAAGCCGTCACAGCCCAGCTGTAACCAGAGAAACCCTCTGAAGCATGGGGGAAACATAAAAGGCTGCCAGGAGTTCATACTGTTTGTTTTAACTTTAGGATATCAGAAGGGCAGAGTTCATTTGAAATACTGCAATCACGAATCACGGATTATCTGGTTCAAAGCTTTTGTTTGGCCTCAGTTTTCTAATCTGTAAATGACAAACATCTACAGTCCTGTTCACAGACAAATAGTCTTAAAAAAAAAGCTGAGCTCATCTGGAATCTTAATCCCATGTGAATGTACCCAACTAATTTCCAGTAAGGGAAACGCTGGAAAACACACAATGTAACCGTCTCACGTACACTTTGGTTAGCATCAAGTCCTCAAAAGTTTAATTGCATTTAGTCGAGCAAATGAGATCTACCTACAGCTGAGTTTTTCATAAACTGGCTGCGCATACAAATAAAACGAGCCTTTACATCACTTTGAGATTGTTGTGCTGCAGCTGGTAATGTTTTCTGGTCTGTGACTTCATATCTTTCATAAGCTGGAGATTCGAGAATCCAAATGAAGACAGATTATGTTCTTTGAAGGGGAAAAATACATTTTTCAGGTATAAGTGGACAGAAAATAAACAGGCCCTGCTACATTCGTGTAAGGAGGCCTGCAACACCACTTTTGTGTCTTCTATCAACAACTTTCATCGCTTCTGTCTCAGCTAGCGTGTTAGCTTGAAGCTGCAGCATGTGCACAGACTGACTGTCGATGTGCAGATCACAGCTTCAGCGGGTCATTGGGAATTTAAAAAACATGCAGGAAACACCTTTAGTTGTGTTTTTTGTCAGTTTGGTCAAATCAACAATCCCACCCGCTGATGCAGACACTAATCGGCTACTTTGAGTACACTTGTTCAACCGTTTAATGCAAATATCTAATCAGCCAATCACATGGCAGCAATTTAGGCATGTAGATATAGTGAAGATGACCCACACGAGCAGCTCTAAGGTTTTTATAGATGATGGTCCAAACAAAAAGAAGACGGGCTACAGCAGCAGAGGACCACGCTGTGTGCCACTCCTGTCAACCAGTAAATGTTGTCAGATTTAGTTAATTTCTGCTGTAACTAATAAAGTGGCAGTTGAGTGTATATTTACTGTGACATCTTCACATGTGTATTGTAATAAGTATTCTGAACTACTTACAACTTGCATCTAATAAAAACCTAAAAATCTACAGTGACGTCTTTTATTTAACTTATTGTGTTCACAAGATTTTCCAAAAACCTGACCTCTGACCTCGACGTAAAGGTTTATTCAAACATCCAAGAGTTTTAGTAGATGTAGCTAAGGCATTAATTTGAAAATCCGAAGATCGTCCCCTCGATCTCGGCTTAGAGTGCTCAGAAAGTTGGGTGTTCATGCCGAACGCCCGGAGGGTTGACAACAATCCCTCATCAGCCTTTCATGGCTGCAGGTTAAAAACGGAAACTAATGAAAATCGAACATTTCAAAGCAATAAAACTAAATTGAAAGTGAAATAATGAAAAGTCTTTTCAGGCTTATTTACCCTCTCCTCCCGAGTCCCTCAGCATGGTGTCAGCGACCACCACGATGGGCCTTCTAAGGACATGAGCCAAGACAAAGACGTGAAACTCCTCCAAGCTCTCATAAACCGGCTCGTCTGAAGACTCCGCTCTGGAAACAACAACAGCAACAGTTTGTTTATCAGAGATGATTGAAACTTTGGCTAACAGTAAAACTTAAAAACCACATGGTGTTAGTGTGGCTTTGCTTTTTATAGCTTTACAGTCGCTGTATTCGACCCAGTGGACTTTTGTTTGCCGCAGTAAAAAAGCAGATGGACTAATGAGGGCCGGTCACTCAGTTGTGACTGTGAGTGCGCTTGTCTGTTCATGAATAAAAACATGACTGTGACTAAGTGTGCTGGGTTAACAGTCACTGCATTGTCCGGGCCAGGCCTCACCCGTTGGTGCCGTTGGTGCTGTAGTGTATTCTCGGTTCGCTGGAGGCGAGCTTTAACAGTTCATTCCACTCTTTCTGCCACTCCTCCTCCGTGTACACCAGCCCAGACTGAGGAGAAAAGAAGGGCGCGCACACACAAACACACAACTGCCATTTAGAGAGGCCGTGTCAAATGTCACAAAAGCATGTACTGACGTTATGGCGTCTCACCTCAAGGTTACATGCAGACAATTGAGCCTAGAGATTTAGAAACGTACTGTCGCTCGTACAGCAGCGACAGAGCAGAGCCGTCGACGCATATTCTAAATTTTATTAAATTAAATTAAACTGGCATTGGTTTGCGAGAATCAATAGTCATCTGTGGAAAATCTGGAAAAGCTGCACTGCTGCGGGCATGAGAAGAGAGCAGTGATCGAGTGTGCAGTTAAACTGACAATTAGGAAACATAAGAGGACAAATATCAGCGGAACAATTCAAGGCAAACGCGTCCAGGGTATGTTAAATCAGCGGTCCCCAACC